AGCCGTCACGCCCAAACATAAAATGATATTATTATGTTGATTCATTATTTCCCAAAGTAGTGAATCGCCAATCTTCTTAGGTGGACGACCTATTACGTTCTAAGCATCGCATTGTTTACTCTGTGAAAGTTACATGTTGGTGTCATCAACCTCCCGTTTTGCCTAATAGCGTCAATCTGTGCACATATTATACTAATAAACCTATTGATTCAATTTCCCGGTATGCGATGTGATTTTTCTCTCTAATCGGTGCATAAAAAATAAAATAATAAACATAAAATTAAAATTTCTTATTGGGTGGCAACGGGGAGGGTGTGTTTTTTTTTGTCAATACACTGTTTGGGGCCCCAGAGTTCCAAAGCGACTATCTTAGCACTTGTAATCCGTTAAATGGGCGTCCTGGTAATGTAAAACAGGAGCAGTCGCCGGCGCCCCGGAAATTTACCTGACCAGGAGCGTCCCTGGGCTCCTATGTGAGCACTATGGCGTCTTCGTTCGTTTTTTTTAAAAGGCTATACAGTATAGACACGATGGGGATCAATAATCTTTGACTATATTGAATCAGGCCGCCACCGGCTGGGTGCTATTTGGCCTCGGGCTATCTTGTGAGCGCTATGGCGCAAACGTTCGTTTTAAAGAGTATGATAGACATACATAAGATAGTGTATATAATCTTTCTCTTAATTGAATCAGGCGCGTCCAATTTGGCGCCCGGGCTATCATACGTTTGTTTTAAAGAGCACTCTACAATAGTGGCAGGGTGGCGCTCGACATTAGATAATTAAACCGAGCATGGGGGCCGTACGCGGCGCTCCTGTGATATTGTGACCGGGGGCTCCCTAGAGTGCCTCTGACACCTGGGCGGTCAGCGAGTTGTGTTCTGTCTCACTATATGGAGAATAATTAACGTACACTCAAGGCGTTCCTACAGCACATCGCGTCATTGGCGTAGCGAGGTCGGGTGTCACCCCCCAGAGGCGTAGCGACACTTCCCGGGGACAAACTTTTCAATTTTCGATTTGCACCCCCCCTTAAACTTTCGATTCACCCCCCCCCCCCTTAAACTTTTTCGATTTGCACCTCTTAAAACACTATCATTTTCTCTATATATTTTGTCATTTTTTGCCTTGGTGTCACCCCCCTAAATGGTGTCACCCGGTGCGGTCCGCACCCCCACTCGCTACGCCTCTGCATCGCGTGCTAGCGGGTGGTAGTGTGGGCAAACACGTGCCCAGACAAATATGATCAAAAAATATAGCGCCAGCATTGTTTGCGTTTAAATAACTCATTTGTATGAAACAATGTCACACGTCTAAGAACATAGGATTGGTAACATTAATGAAAACCTCTTAAAATGTTTCGTCGGTAATACAACCTATTTCATTGCAAAAAACCTCACGGAACTCTTTTCTAGCTTGAACTAATCATGTTTTAAAAGCGTATTTATCTCATTAATTATACCCGCTGAAAATGTTATCAGTGTAGCTAATAAGTAGCTGATAAGTGTAATTATTTCCCGTGTTTTTTTTTTATTCTTAAGTTGTTGTTTTTTTCGTTATCAATTTTGAATTAATTCCATTTTTACCACGTTTTTCTTAACTCAGCTTCGCGTTTGTTTATGGATTTGTTTGTTGTTAAAATTGACAACGAAAATTAGCCCACTTCTGATTGCTCTAGAGATCTGAAATTCGGCATGCAGGCTATTTTCGCCTAACAATTTCAGATGCAATCATAAAAACTAGCAATTAGAGACCTAAATTAGCTTAATTAAATTACGCCCCTTCTCTGTTTAAAGCGTATGTGTTACCGTGTCCGTGTGTTTGTTGACAACCCCAGACCATCACGTGATTCGTGGGTCGGGCAGATTTATGATTAAAGCGAAAAGCACACAACACACGAATTTTGGAAATTTGATGGTGAACGTACCCACGTTTTTTTGTCATCAAATGTATGAACAGTCATCACAAGAACCTGCACAGCTCGAGGAAGCACAAAATCTACGAGCAGTCATTGGTAGATCCCCTAGGGTCGGAAGAAAAAATTATTTTCTACTTTTTAGTCCACAAGAAAAACGTGTTTTTTTTAAAAGTTTTTTAAAAGTATTTTATTACTTTCTCGTATATTTGAAGTATAGAAAAAGTATTGTAATCGTGCACAAAAATAACAGGAAATTTTGACAGTTTTCACCGTTTTACTCCTCAGTCCTTCATCACATCCGGAGTATAGAGGACTTATTTTAATCAGGCAAAAATTATAAATACAAATATATAATCAATTTGGCGTTTTATGCGTTATCGAGTCGTAAAAACTGGACTTTGCAATTCTGTCCGTGTGTCTGTGTGTGTGTGTCTGTGTGTAAACACGATAACTTGAGTACCGTTACAGCTAGGTCAGGGGTCGGCAACCTGCGGCTCGCGAGCCGCATGCGGCTCTTTTGATGTCAAGATGCGGCTCTCCAGATCCTTGCACATATATTAATAGTTATATTATTTCGTTTTCAAAATTCGCAACAAATATTATACTGTAAAGGAACTCAACTTTAAACAGGATAAAAACACTCATCAGAGAACAATAAGAGTAGGTGAGGTAGAAAGTATACGAACAGCTGACAGCCGCTTGGGCACCAGGCCCAGCCCCACAGCCGTGCTGTAGCCAGCACCGTGGCGACTATTCCATGCTTGCTACTGCCCAAATGCCCACTTTTTCGAATATCGTTACATGCGAATGTCATTTTATTCAGAATGCATGTCCATAGCGGTCAGTAATCATTTATTTGACCTGAGTGACGTGCTTTTAAGTGATTAGTTACTATTGTTGAGCCGGGTACTGGACGGTGGGGTACGAGTTTACCTTGCGTTGTTTGGGATGGGAGATAAACCTGGTGAGATCCAAAGGACAGAAAAGACAGATACACAGTAATCAAACCGATAACAAAGCCAGTTAGTCTGAGTTTGTCGTGTTCTGACCTGACTGGCTAATGGGAGACACCTCCTGAGCCAGTGGTGTCCGTAAAGACAGAAAAGGATAACTGCTTCTAAATGGGGATGGGGATAGTCCAATGTTTTTATTTTTTATTACTAATTTCATTATTCTCGCGAAAGAAGTGTATGTCATGTTTAAAGCTATTTATTTTAAATAGCAAATCAAATGTATTTACCTAATCCTAATCGAAAAATAAAATATTGGTATAAAAATTGTTTGCGGCTCTTTAAAACTGGGAAATTTTGAAAATTGTAACTTTTGGCTCTTCCGTCTCAAAAGGTTGCCGACCCCTGAGCTAGGTTGATAAAATTTCATATATAAGTATTTTATCAAAATCATAGATCCGTATCAACTTTTGAGCGATTTCCGATAACCGGAAGTGGGACTTTTTCTACTTTGAATTTTTCAAAAGCCTATAACTTGAGTACTATTTCAGATAGATAAATGACATTTCACATGTAAGTAAAAGATAAAATTTACTACCTTCTATCAAATTTTGAGTAATTTCCGTTGATTGAAAGTACTAATTTACGCTATTTCCGATTTCTCAAAAAACGAATGTAAATTTATAAAGTACTAATAATATTCCGCACTATTATGCACGTTTTATTTGGCGTTCACAGGTGTGCAATTCTTTTTTCTACGAGATTTTATTCTATTTTTAAAAGTTTAAGTATTTAATATAAACTAAAAAATTCATGTCTATATCCCGAGTTCCCATCCCCTGTTTTTAGCGCAATTTCCTTACAGGAATTGCGATTATTAACTCGTCATTTCTGTATGGATGGATGGATGGATGTGTGCAGCTTTGAGTCGTATCTCCTCCTCAACGAAGCAATATCGAGGACTAGCTCCAAAAGCAAATATGTTAAGCAAGTTCCTAGGATGATTGTGGGCCAAAAAAATTCCCGGAATTCCTTCCTGGATTTCACGGAAAAGCCAAAAAACCTAGAAAAAATACATACAGTTTTTGGCCCATATCTCGGAAACCAGACCACTTAGAGACTTGAAACATATACCAATCGATTTCTGCTATAATTTAGAACAATATTGCCGAAGAAAGTTTTCAAAAATATCCTTTTGTTCGGTCACAAAAAATTAATTAAGAATTTTTAAACTGTATGGATGGATGGATGGATGTGTGCAGCTTTGAGTCGTATCTCCTCCTCAACGAAGCAATATCGAGGACTAGCTCCAAAAGCAAATATGTTAAGCAAGTTCCTAGGATGATTGTGGGCCAAAAAAATTCCCGGAATTCCTTCCTGGATTTCACGGAAAAGCCAAAAAACCTAGAAAAAATACATACAGTTTTTGGCCCATATCTCGGAAACCAGACCACTTAGAGACTTGAAACATATACCAATCGATTTCTGCTATAATTTAGAACAATATTGCCGAAGAAAGTTTTCAAAAAATATCCTTTTGTTCGGTCACAAAAAATTAATTAAGAATTTTTAAACTGAGCATCGTGTAGGCCTAGGATGATATTTTTGATTTAAACTGAGCATCGTGTAGGGTTTTAGCGCAAAAAATATCCCTTCGTTCGGTCACAAAAAAATAAAAATTGTTATGGATAACATAAAAAAATTGCGCTTAAATTGTCACTAGACTTTTTATTAACTTGTTTTATGAAAGAATATTCGAGAAAGTTTAGGGGAGATCGCTCCCGGTTTAGTTAGCCATGTTATTCTTTAGTATGCCTTATTTTAGTAATAATTAAGAGAAGAAATTGCTTTTTTTATTTGCTTAGTACAAAACTATTTAGATGAGCTTCATGTGCACCACTATTAGACAATTTAAGAAGAGCAACGAGTCGTGGAAGTGTATATATTGAAGGTAGTTTTTTTTATGCAACTGTGTGGTAGTTACTGTAGAACATTCATTGCTGTAGTTGATCTGTTGTTGTTTTTTTTTATTATACAAAACCACTAGTGTATCAAGGTGTAAAAAAGCTCCCCCTTAACGGCCTGCTCTCTCCCCCCCCCCCCCGGCGTTATAGTAGACAGACAGGCACGCTATTAAAAGCAACTCTTCAGTAATTGAATTAAGTCATCGCGAAAGGAGCGATTCATAAAGGCATATATAATGGGATTAACTACATTATTAATATAGAACATATAGAAGACAATAGTACTAAAAGGGAGAAGTTTTAAACCCATCAGCCAGGAGGGAAGAAACGATATTACAAATACAACTGTTACTACAAACAACATTGCTGCTGTTTTAATGTTGGCATAAAGAGCACGATCTCTCATTGCAGTGGACATGCGTCCAGTTTTCAATAAGACTGTTTCTGTAGCCGTCCCATTGATATTTGTAAGCTGTGTCTCCTCGGCCACAGTTTCTGGTCCATTCGAGCTTGTATAGCAGCTTCTTTTTCTTTTGCTTTTCCACGCTCTTCTGACTAGAATGGATCTATATATTAGAGCATAAAGAATTGCCAAAACAATAAATTCAACTAAATATATTGAAGCATAAATCTTTAGATATTTGCCAATGAATTCTTCGCTTAAAATGTCATGCGTTGGACTGCAAATTCCGGTGAATTCCCATACTGTTTGGTTAACCTGAACAAACGAAGTTTTTTCTTTGAGGATGATAGCTTTGGAACTGTTACTCGTGTTGAATAAGGTAATTGGAATTAATGTAGAGGTTATAATAGATATGTCTTTGCTTTCTAAGCCAATTTGCTCACCATACTGAATACTGTCTTCAATAAAGCCAGGCGCTGGATGAATATACAAACCAGTAAATACATCTGTTTCGTTTGAAATAATAACAGACGAAGCTTCTTGACTCTCGGTTTGTATTCGTCTTGAAAGTAAACTCGAGGTAAGCAAAACCGGCGTGCTGTCGACACTCATGTTCAGAGTTTTTGCAGAGTTGTAATACACACTGTGTGACAACATTGGTATCAGACCAAGCAATGCCGAGATCAGCGTAAGGACAGCAACACACCATTTAGCCCTGGCTACAGTGACAGCGTGCATAAATGGGTGACAGATACAAAAGTAGCGGTCAAATCCAATTGCAACCATGATGAGAGATGATAAGGGGATGTTAAATGTTTGAACAAACAGGTACATCTGTAGTGAAAAAAAAAATTAACATTTACATAACAAATCGCCCAAAACCTAATATAATTTTACTCAGCTAACCACCGGGTTAACTCAGATACTTGGTAGTAAAGCTGCTAGCTTGATGAACTCGTACTTGGTACATAAGTAAAGTCTATTTAAATGTATTCTACATCCGTACCCTAAATAAAGACGTTTGATGGACATGGCTATTGTTCAGTTATTTGTTATTTAAAACATTTTCCATGAGATTCATATAGATACAAAAAATTGTGAAAGGGTTCGGAGTGAAGCAATAATGGTCAACTCTTAAAGTTAGGCCGAAGAAAATATTCAATCAGAATGTTTTCAAAGAATGTATACTCTATTGTCCTCTTTAATGGGATTTAAGAACAGGTTGCGTAAGGTTTTGTGTCAAATATAAGTGCACCACATTTAGAAAGACTCACCTTGCAAACAATATCATACATATGCTTGAAGTTCAGAAGTTCAGATGTTATGGTAAAAGGAATCGCTATAAGACATGTAAGAAAATCCGTCACAGCTAGGCTCAGTATAAAAATTGTTGATGTTCCTTTTTCCCTCTTTCTATAGTATATGAAAAAAGCCATGCCGTTTCCTGTAAGAATATCGATTTTACGAATATCATTTTTGTAAGAAAAAAAATATTTTAAAGTGTTTCTAGTAAGAATATCGATTTTACGAATATCATTTTTGTAAGATAAGAAATATTTTAAAGTGTTACTAGACCACCCATTTTCCTTTGGATAACAGTGTTTTTAGGGGAAATTGATAAATGACTTAAAGCTTGTTTGACAATTTTTATCTTTCCCTCCAACTCCCCACTGTCACGCATCGTCACAAAATGCCAGATCCCCACATCTAACAAGACTCACACCTCAGCCAACATCTTTTTATCTTTTAAAAACAGCGATTTCGGGTGAGCATGGTTCTGACCACACTATCTGAGGTCACAGAAACAGGATATAGTTCTCCTGCCCCGTGTTCCGCCAGATCCGAGTGACAGCTTTACTAGACACTAGAAAAAGCTACACCTCAGCTTACATGTTTTTTGTCTATCTAACGATATCTTTAAAAGCAAAGTGGGAGATGGGTGTTTTGTTTGTTTGTTCCTAACACCTGTTAGATTGGGTACTTGCAGGTAGGTTGCGAGAAATTTGTCCTTGACAAAGTTCGCTGTTCACTCTCTTTAATCGAGTGACCGAAAACTGACCTAGACTAACTGCGGCCTTATATAAACTACATGTAATTACCTTTAATTTGATACCAATTTTATTTATCAAATTTATTTGGTAGCCTAGCAAATGATTTCTGAAGAAAAAAAACGCGTTTGTTTTTTAAATGGCTACGATGATAGGACTGATACTCAGTGATAGGGTGGGTTAGTTTTTTTAAGGACTGTTGTTGTGACGCGATTGACCATTCACTGCCGCTCAGCAGAAATGTGTCGCCTGCTTGATTTCTCCCCATGCAAATACACCGCGGGCAAAATGGGTGGGCTTTGTTAGCTGTTGTCTCGATCAAGTCATTTTTACAAGCTTTTATTAAACATTAGTTAAGTTATCCAATAGATCCACGCTTTTCTTTATAGTTATTTAAATAGTAGTGTATAGTTTATTTCTACTTTTTAGTGCATTATTACATAAAAGCTTGTTATTAAAACCAGTGGCGTAGCGAGGTCGGGTGACACCCGATGCGGCACTTAATTGTGTCACCCCCCAGAGGCGTAGCGACCCTTCCCGGGGACAAACATTCAAATTTTCGATTTGCACCCCCTCAAACTTTCTATTGCACCCCCCCCCCCCCTCAAACTTTCGATTTGCACCCCCCTCCCTCAAACTTTCGATTTGTACCCCCCTCAAGTTTTTCTCTATATATTTTGCTATTTTTTGTCTTGGTGTCACCCCCCTAAATGGTGTCACCCGGTACGGTCTGCACCCCCCCCCAAATCGAAAGTTTGAGGGGGGGGGGGGTGCAATAGAAAGTTTGAGGGGGTGCAAATCGAAAATTTGAATGTTTGTCCCCGGGAAGGGTCGCTACGCCTCTGGGGGGGGGTGACACAATTAAGTGCCGCATCGGGTGTCACCCGACCTCGCTACGCCACTGGTTTTAATAACAAGCTTTTATGTAATAATGCACTAAAAAGTAGAAAATAAATTATACACTACTATTTAAATAACTATAAAGGAAAGCGTGGGTCTCTTCCTAAACATTAGTAAAGGTATCCAAAAGATACTAAAGTGATCCACGCTTTTCTTTATAGTTATTTAAATAGTAGTGTATAATTTATTTTCTACTTTTTAGTGCATTACTACACAAAAGCTTGTTATTAAAACGGTTTTCATGAAAACAATTTTTATAGGTTTTGTTTTTAGCCTGCGTGATTTTTAAAACATAAATGACATTAGTTTAGTAGAAAGCAAGTTATAATTTTCTATAGTTTAGAATATATTTTTTCAGTATGTTTAGAACGGCAGTCATTATTACCATGACAACGCTAAAAAAGTAGGTCAAGTGACAGGCTAATTAAACGCCCTTTATCTAGAATGTTCATAAAAATTACTGCTGTAATTAATTTTTTATTGTAAAATAGATAATGGTTTAAAATTGTAACACCACACTTAGCCTAAAAAGTTTGAATAACAAGCTTTTATGTAATAATACATTAAAAACACGAACATAAATTATTTTCTTAAATTGTATATAGCAGGCTACACTACAATTTAAATAACTATACAGAGAGAAATGTTCTAATAGTGGTTCCGTTAAAAACACTAAATGTAAGACCCCAAAATTCTCCTAAATTTAGTGTTATACCGGACCTAAAATTTAAAAATTCATAATAAATTAGTTTGAAGATCTGGACTTAAATTTTTTGCTTAGTACTCTAAAATACGGTAGATTATTATAAATTCATTCTTTATTGGGCTTAAGATATATTTTTTTTATAAATGGTGGAAATCCTACAATTATGTTCATTTTCCAAGATGGCCACCGTTGTGATAATTACCAAGATTTTCCGACCACTTTTCTTTTAATCGAAACATTTATGAGGATGTACCTTAAATAGCCACATAAATAATTGTTTCCAAGCGGAGTATAACAAACATTGTTTTAAAAAAAAAATTGGAGCCTACTACCTTAAACATATTATATCCTAATTTAACCTATTTCATAGCTAAATGTTACAGATTTATATAAAGATGTAAGGCCTTCTTCTTCTTCGTTTTTAATTTTTAGTGTTGGGAGGGATGGATCCTTATCTGCCAGAGGGTTTGAACTCGAGACTTTTTTCGAATTTGTCAACCATGAACTTTGCCGACTCGACCATGCTTCCTTCACAATTAAGGATTACGTGTCAACTAGTTATGCGCTATTGAGGCAATTGACTCCGATTTCAGCCTGCTTTTCTTTATGGGTTTGCTTCCATAGCCTTTGTCCAACCAAGAACACACTACAAGGCAGCAGTTGTTTGATTTTGGAGTTGTCTCTCCTAGAAGAGTGGCTGTCCCCAGCTAACGAGCCTCATCTGCCCGAATTTAAGGCCTGAAATAGTTTAGTGAAAAAAAATATTCATTGTGTTTTTGTACTTGTTTTTTATTTTAACTAATTAATTTTTTTTAAATTTTCAATTCTCCGACAAGGCTTAGATTATTTCTAGATTTTAGTTATTCCGCAAAAAAAAAAAAAAAATCATTAAGACTATATTCTCGAATTAGAACATCAGCCAAACGTATTCTATTGAAAATTGATAACCCTGTGGGGATCTAATAAAAATAATATCAGTAAAGTTAAACTGTAGGCGACATAAAAGTTAGCTTTTAATACATTAAAAAACTTTTCACACAAACATAAACGCAAACACAAACACAAACAGAAAAGCAAGCGCAAACAGAAAAGCAATCGCAAAAAGAAAAACAAACACAAACACTAACATTAATGCAAACAAAAACACAAACGCATATATCAAAACAAAAGACAAAGTATTAACATTTTCTGCTTTTTTTTTGTAAGTAATTTAAGGAAATACCACAAAGAAAAATAATTTTTTTTCAAACAAAATTGAAATTTTTGAAAAGGGTATTACATTTAATTTAATTTTTTTGTTTGTTCATTTCTTAAATCAAAATGATAAGTTGTAAAAATGCAAATAAAGTTTGACAATAATCAAATATTCAGTTTTTAAATAATAAATTTAGATGTTAGTACAAAAAAAAACTTTTTAAAATATTACACATCGGCGATCAATAAATGCATTTATTCCACAATTCCACCACAGAGTCACCGAGTCAATTGCATTTTTATATGTTAGATTTAAAGTTGTATAATTAAAAGTGTGTTTTTACATTTGAATTTATAATTAATTTAATTCTTGAATAAATGTGTGTATATTTTGAAAAGAAAAAGAACTACATAAATACGTATGTTAAAGATCTACAAATAGTGCAATTGCTGTGATCAAGCGATAGCTACAAATAAAAATTATATAAATATACAAACTTGTTAACATAGCTGAGTTTTAGAAGTATACAAGCCGTACCGGCCAGGCCTTGCACTGGAATTTAAGATAAACTTATCTGTAAAGGACCGTGCTAATGAACCCGGGGGTTTGGGAATATATAAAATTTTCAATGAAATGTGTATAAGTAAATATGGACGGTTAATAAAATATAAATCCATACGCAGACATAAAAGCAAACATAAACGCAAATATAAATGCAAACGAAAACTAAAACGTAAACATAAATAGAAATATAAACGCAAGCTTTATCATAAACGCAAACAAACATTTTTAAAAGCAAGATCTAGATGAAAGAGTCTAGAATTGAATTTATTAACTTTTTGGTAGTGACCTTTTTTAAAATAGTAATATGATTAATATGCAGGAGAAAAAGTGGAAGATCTTGATCTTTCTCCATAATATTAAAAATTAATACTTTTTTTCAAGTTGAAATAAATAGTTTCGGTAGAAGTGAACCTAATTTTGTTCGCAAGTTTCCGCCCATGACTGCTTTTTGCTTGTAAATATGTAAAGTAATATAGTTTAAAATAGAAAGTTTTTATATTAAAAATATCTAAAGAGAAAAACTAAAATGATGTTTATAAAAATGTATACATATAAGAATTCACTACTATGAAACAAAACAACAGATATGTTAGGTATGCAACGGCAGATGTGGAAATATGAAACAACAGATGATGAGGAAGGTACGAATGAACAGATCTGGGAGGTATGAAACGACAGAAGTGGTATGTATAAAACAATCAAGAAACGTGGAAGGTATGAAACTACAGATGTGGGAAGTATGAAATAAAGCGACAGACGTAGGAGGTATGAAACAAAACGACAGACGTAGGAGTTATGAAACAAAATATGTGGGAAGTATATAGCAACACGTGCTGGAGGTACAAAACAACAGATGTAGTAGGTATGAAACAATGACGGTTTCTGTCACTCTTTTCAGCTGTTCCCCATTCCTTCGCACATCTTCAGAGTTTCTGGTTTTCTACCTTGTCTTGTCATTTTATTTTTTAGTCGTTGGACAACTACAAAAAATGGTTTGGGTTCTTTTTGTTGTTGCCTCTGATTAGTGGCGT